AGACATGTGCTGACCAGTCCTCTGATACATACCGAAGGGTGACCCTTTACAGATCTCCAAACTTTTCTCTGTGTGCATCGATTTCCTCTCTGGTCCTCTGTCCTGTAGTCTCTAGCCACCTTGGTATACTGAACATCCACTCAGCTCGGAGATCTGCTAGGCTTCCCTTAGGCATCCCCAGCCTTGCACTGCTGTCTAGAAACTCTCTTAATTTGTAGACTGGGACAATCATAGCACAAGTCTCATTTGTTTGCCATCTTTCAAGAATCACTTACTATGCCTGATGTCCAGCATATTGAAAACCATTGTTTCAGATATTTTTCCTGGTTTGGGGTTATTTTATACAGGAGGGTAAATATGCTATTACTCCATCTTGGCCAGAAATGAAGCAGAAAGTGTGTGTGTGTGTGTGTGTGTGTGTGTGTATAAAAAGACTTGGAACAATAAAAATGTATTTAAATTTAATTATGCTTACTCAACTTGTAGAATTAGTCAGACACTAAAAATGTCAGGACCTCTATTCCAATCCTTTGTTAATAATTATCTATGCAACATTGTATCAAAGCTATGAAGGCCTTTGTGTGATTTTCAGAAATGGAGATAATCGTATGTTTTCCCTCATTGTCTTATTTAAAGAGCTAAAATGTGGTATTAGTCATCCAAAATGCTTACGCAGTCATATAGTTTCTATTTTCAGAGCTTTCTTAAATGTTTGGGTCCCACCACAAGCTAGCTAAACTATAAATTTTCATATTTCAAAAACTAAGTTAGTCTTGTGATTGTAGATATTTTTATTCACAGAGAAAATGGCACATTGTGAACCTTAAATTTTAAAATAAATAATGATACGATAAAATGCAAAAATATAATTTATGGGCAAAAACTAAGTTATCAATAATTTGAAAAAAATTACTACAGCGAGTAGCTCTTCAGCTTACTTTCCCAACAATATGATTAATGCGTAATAAATTCTGCTACTAGTCGTACTAATAGCAACTTTAACCTTCTTAAACATTACCCACATTAGTACTCAAGTGCACCATATTAGTGGCTGTTCTCACGATGCATCACCAATGGACTTAGCTTGAGCTGCATCCATTAGGAGCGACGTGAAGGAAGAGAAAAGTCGCAGTTGATATTTAATGTCTTTACCAATAGAAAAACTCTATAATTATTTGAATTCGTTTTTTTAATAAAAAACTGGTTCTTTCCTTAAACTTAGTTGCTAGAACAGTGTTTATGAATATTCTCCTCCTGCCCAAAGTTGGCCAATGTGGTAGTAGGTTAAACAACACATTAATCCTGTTTTGATTTAAAATGTGTCCATTTCATTCTTCTCCAACTTGAAGAATATTTCGGTAATCCCTTTTGTCGCTTATATTATGGATTCCAGAATAACTTAAGCGAATGGGGCCTTTGTTTACCTTCTAGTTATACACGAGGAAAGTAATCTTTTATTTAAGAAAAAAAACCATCAAAATCAATTTTCCATTAGACATTCTTTCAGAGAAGATGTGAACAGAGATCCAGAACCATTGGTCAGTCTTGGCAGACATAATATCAAGTACCCTAATATGTTTTTTAGTCTGCTAAATAATATTGGGAAGGTAGCAGGGTGGGCTTCTCTTCAGAGTGAAGTTAAGAGAGAAAAGTGCTAGTTTAGTCCAAGTATGACAACTTGTTAGCACTGTCCCCTGGAAGAAATCAACTCTCACATCCTTGTTTTTGTTTTATCTATAAACTGAGGGATGAGGTAAAACAAAAAATCTCATGTACATGACCTATTCTACCCCATGTTTCTATTACTATGAAGGGTCAGACAGTCTGAATGAAAATATTTTTACTTTGCTATGATCCTTCACAGTAATAGAATCATGGGGTAGAATAGGTCTTATATAAGAATTAATTACTATCAAAATATATTAAGTTTGTGCTTGAAATAACTCATAGGAAATGATATCTCATAGGAAATGATAAAAGGTTTAGAGTGATTTCCTAAGGTGAATTTGGATCATAATATCAAGATAATATCATTCGCCAATGCCACCATTTTACAGAGATAAGTCTTCAATGTCATATTAACCACTCTATTTTTAATATTAGAATTTCAAAGGTTCTTAAGAATCAGAAATTTCAGCATTCTCAAATGAAGAATGTTAATTATATGTTACTTTTTTAAAATATGAAAAACAAATTTGGGAAATCATTATACTTTTATTTTATAGAAGAGTGCTACTTGCAACTGGCATCTATGTATTTAAAGACTGTTTAGTGACTAAGTTCTCTGTACCAATAAAAAGTACTTAATCCAGATTTTAGTAGGTTGATTGTTACATGGTTGCTCTCTGGCAAAAATTTAAATATATACATTCGTGGATATTTTTACTTCTAACAATCAGTAAAAATTTATCTCTTTTTCTTTCACTTTGTGTTTAACAATTTAAAACTGACCAGACGATAAACAGATCATAAAAAAGTCAACAAATCTTAATAATCTCAAAATATATCAAAGAGGGTCAAGTAATGCACAAATATACAGAATGCATTATCTGTACTTGTTTTATATAAATTAGGAAAAAACCACATAATTGCCTAATTTAAATTTTACACAACTTTCCTTAAAATATTTTTCTTATTTTATTTCAAAGACGAATTTATTTTCAAATAAGCAGATAAAGTAAAAAAATCACGAAGAGTCACAGCAGATGATGTATCAGTGAAATGTGGTGCATCTGTTTTGCTGCCTTGTAAAAGTGCAGAGAGCAGCGGGTGATAGTGTTTTATTCTCTATAACCCTATAAAATTCTAGCTATCAAAATCTTCTGCGGAATAAAATAAGTGTCTGTAAAAGTTTTAGTGATTATGTGATGTCTACATTCACTAATAAAAGGTACTATATCTTTGTTGACTCCTTCCCCATACTGGACAGGTCTTTGAGAAAAAAACAAAAAACAAAAATATGTATCATTCATCAAGATGTGTCCTTCATATATTGCTATATTAAGAGAGTAATACAGTAGAAATCAAAAATCCTTCATCAGTCACTTAAAGAAACATCAACAGACATGTAGCATTCTGAGAAGAGATCATTTGTTAAGAGCAGACTTAAGACAGAGAGTATCTATATTCATTCTTTCAAAAAGAACACAAATGAGAAGATGGAAATTCAGTTATGTAATAATAATGCTGAACTGGTATATTTTCAGTTTGCCCTGATGTGGACAAACTACATAGTCTGATCTAATTACTCCTTGGCAGGCAGTTGATACCTGGAATATGAAGAGTGTAGCATCATTGTTTTTACATAATTGGCTTATTGAATCCAAATGGTGGTTCCGTGCAATTATCAAATAACCACTGTGTCAATATTAGTTCCTGGAACTGTCCCCATAAAGTTAATTCCACTCCTCTGCTACCTTAGCGTGTGTATAAACCTTAATGAGACATGTTCCAGTTAACAGCGCATATTCAGTTTTGGGTAATCTATTAGAATTTGGCCCCATGCTCATAAAGCTGTGATTAGAATGGCAGATTTAAAGCAGATCATGTAAATGCTGTCTTTCCTTAGAGTGAGCAGTCTTCAGCTTAAATTCTAAAAGCAATTAGCTGAAAGGATAACACGCAATGCCTAGAGCAGTTCAAAATTTAGAAAAGGAATTGGAGCTCTTCTGCTAATGCTAATTTTCCTTAAAAAAAGAAACCCTGAAAAGATGCTCTGTACAACTGCAGTCCCCAGCCCCTGGGGACCAGGCCACAGAGCTCCTCCACCTCCCCACCCTCCACAATTAAAAACTGTCTTCCATGAAACTTGGGAAGCCGGGGCTGCACAGGAGGCGAGCGAGCGAGCGAGCGTATTCACAGCCGCTCTTGCGCCCCATCGCGGCGTCGCCACTCAGCTCCCCACCCGCTTCCACGAAACCAGTCCCTGGTGCCAAAAGAGTTGGGGGCTGCTGCGAGTGTACAACATAATACAGTCACAGGAAATCAAAGGCAAATTGGTAACAACCTTTAGAAAAGACAAATATAGAATAATAAAGAAAAACTGACATAATCTCTCGATATTTGGGGGAAATAAGTTTAGGATTATGTTTCATTCAGGTATTACTATAAATGAAGGGTAACTCTTTACATCTGGTTATATATTTAGTTAAAAACATAATCACAATTTACAAAAACTATAATTGCAAATTACAAAGAAAAATAGGCAGACTATCTTGTACTGACATCCCCGATGCACTTCGTTACCTATCGAGTTTCTGTTCCATTACAAAATTAAATAGCTAACATTCAATATTGATTTCAACATTAAAATTTATCAAAATGATTAAAAACAGTCAATTAGAAAAAGCAATACACCAAAAATAACAGTATTATTTCCAGGTTTCCGCTGCGTCCTACTGACCATCAGACAGGGAGAGCCGGGGCTGCTCGGTTGGCAGGCCCTGTGGCTCTGTGTCCCAGGACACGGAAATGCCAAGGAAGGTGACGAAGGAGCACTTCCTGTTTTACAAATACCAGCAGAGGACCAAAGAAGGGATCCCAGGTAAGTTTCCAAGTAACAAAAAACATCAGAGTGGAACTGTGTCTTTTACATCTGAACCAAAGTTCTGTCACATTTTTTAAGAAAGTAGGAGCAAAGCTTCATGGCCATTTTCTCATCTAAAACCCACAATTCTTACACAAACGAAACCAGTTTCGGAAGAGAGCATTTGAGATGGCAGAACTACCGGACAGGGATGAGTGGCCATCCCTAGTTCACTGTCCCTAAACTGAGAGTGGAGGAATGCGATCCGCTGAGGGGGAAGGGGCCTTCCAGAGCACTCTGAGGCTGCCGTGCTGTCCCCAGCCAGCTGACTGCAGTGCGCCCACCGCGTGTGCCCCGATGGCAAGCAGGGAAGTCAAGCAGTCGCTGTGACAGACTGGCCACAGCTGCCAATCGCAGGGCACGCTCTGGCTCTCATTGACTGTTCTGGACATCAAGCTCACTTGTTAGAGCCATCTTAGCACTCTTCCTTTTTGGAGATTTTCGACTCATTTTCTTTGCGTAACTTTCTCTGTTGATAAATTCGTACGGCTATGGCAGTGATACAGAGCAAAATAAATATCACAACTGCTATGACACCTAGGGGAGGAAGAAAAAAAAGATGATGTCAAAATATAAATGGTGATTTTTGTTCCAAGCAGAGGCTTTGCAGATGAAGGGACTAAAAATGTTTTACTCCAAAATATACTTCTGCCACATATTTTGAGATGGCTGTTCAGAAGGCCTGCAAGCAGAAGGAGCCCCACAAAGCTGTCTTTTGTGGGGGAGATTTGCATCTTTAGAGAAAATCTGCATTGATGCAGCCAGGCTTTCTCAGAGCTCTTCCCTTTGCTGGATCTAGGAAATATTAACTGAGAGCCTGATGCCTTTAAAGATCTGAAAGAAACATTTACCATCTCTTTTCTCTGAGCGCTGCTACCTGTGAGGTTTCATTTACCTAACAAGCCTCTTCTCCAGCCTCCTACAGCCTGTTTTGCCAGCATCCAAGCCCCTATTCTTTCTGTAACCCGGAGATGGTATATACGCTTCTGAACCCCACTGGGGAGGCAGTCGCTCTGTGGTTCTCCCCCACGTGCACGCTAGTAAATTTGTATGCCTTTTCTCTTACTCATCTCCTTTTGTGAGTTGATTTTTCAGTGAACCTTCTGAGGGAAAAGGGGAAGTTTTCCTGTGGCCCTTACACAGACATCATTGCTTAATAAGTTAGGTTAAAATAAAACAACCAACTATTATACCATAAATTGGAAACATCAAAACTCAGGAATTTTAAGGCCAAGTGGTTTTATAATATTTTATATTTTTCAGAATTACTACAACTTTTAGATATGGCCGTCTTAGGCTTTTTTCCTAAAGGCACATGGTAATTGGATTTCAGCTAACACCTTCAGATTTAAAAGCACCATAAACTAAAAATCCTAAACCTCCCACTGACTGAACATGTAACAGAGGTAAAGGTCTGAAAAAGAGCAACAAACTTCTCTTTCCTTTTCCTCAAACCATTTGTCCTCATTCTCCCTTCTCACCGATTCAGCCTTGGGGACAAGTACTGAACTTTTGGTAACAAACGGACCCCCTCTTGGCTAAGGGAACCTCAAAAAAACCTTAGAACTGAGTTCCTGGACATGAAGGGAAGGAAAGTCAGACACACCTCCTCATAACCCCTCCCTTTTGGAGTTTCGACTATTGCAAACGGTACCCACGGCCATGCAAGGCAAAGGTTAAGTCATGCCTGCAAGCCATCAATTTGCTTAACAGATCACTGCGAGTATATTGTAGCTTGCTCTCTGATTAATAGATTCCCTTATCTTAACTCAAGCATTCCTTTCTACCGACTCTAAGTCTTTAGACAAAGCTTCATTTTAACCAATTACAAATAGAAGAATCTTTGAACTCACCTATAACCCGAAGCCCCGCCCCCTACTGCTTTTTGCTTTTTCAGGCCAAACTAATGCATACCTTCCATGTATTGATTTATGATTTTATCTGAAGTTCCTGTCTCCCTAAAATGTATACAATCAAACTGTAACACAACTTCCTTGGGATCACTTACCCAAGGCTTCTTGAATATGGCTTCTTGGGCCATTGGTTACTCATATTTGGCTCAGAATAAACCTATTAAATTATTTCACAGACTTTTGTTTTTTTTTCCATGAGCAGCACAAACACATACAAGTCTCTAACACCATATGCATCGTTCAGTTAACAAGTGGGAAGTATATAGTGTTTAGCACCATCATAAATCACTAAATGATACTATTAGTACCATGAAATGGATACACTTTAATGAAATCTTTAAAAAATACTTTTATGATGATATACTTTTGAAATGCAGTTGTCCAACATGTATGTACTCGAACTCTATTGCCAAAAATATTCTAGGCATATTTATTAAGTTTATTTATATGGAATGTGGATTATTTGAAAGAGCCAGGTATCAATGTTCTAAAATATTGACACTATTAGCTATGTCAGTGATTCTTAAGCCTTGCTGTACAAGAAACTAGTAAATTTGGATAAATGAGTAGCAGGCCTGGGTACCAGTGCTTTTATAAATTGTATTTGGCTTTAGTTCACAGCCAGAGTGCTAAAGGAGGAAGCCGTGCCTCCAAAAGCTGCTTACTGAAGCAATCACATTAGTGAAGAATGAAAGTCAAATCTATGCTAAAGCAAATGAATATGTAAAAAGACAAACTTTTGAAGGAAGCCAAAATATGTCACCCCAAATAAGCTTTTTTGACATAAATATTTTTGAGCTAGAGGCAATTAAGAAGTAAATAGAGGAAGAGCCCCCTCAATCCTCCAATCCTCCTCCTTCTCCACCTAAGGACAGGAAGTAAATTTTCCTTCATTGCAGACAACTCTTATCAGCTCAGAGATGGCACCAGAGAAATCTGTAAATGAACATTATTCCATCAATTTCTTGCCATAAATTTACTTCCCACAGTTTCTCGCCTTTAGAAATCTAAAACTGCTTTCCATTGTCCTGTCATTTCTCTACAAATTTACTGTTCTTTGTTGAAGATGCTATATAAGCCAGAGTTCTAAGCCACTGCCTTGAGTTACCTTTCCCTGAGGTTTCTCCCACGTGCTGTGCACTGCACACATTAATAAACTTGCTTGTTTTTCTTTTATTAATCTCAACTATGAATTTATGAGGGTTGAGAAGAAATTATATTTCCTCCCTGACACTTTCACTGTCCACATCATAAATTTAAGATAATTCACAAAAATATTAATTTATATCTCAGGCAGTAACTATTAGAAAACAGCTGCCTTTGTGAAGGCCCAGGAGAAGCCTTCTACACATGGCTTCTTTCCATTTCCCCCTTGAGAAACCACGTAAGAATTTCTCAAGGGAACAGAACCTGCTAAGACTTACTGTTTAACAGCATCACATTCCTACATTTACTCAGTACATCTTCCCAGTGGTATTTGACCAAAAGCAATAAAACTCTGAAGACAAGTGCTTTTGTTCTGTTATCAATTTGCCCATTACCCTTGCCCTCCGAAGGCCAGCACTAACCCTGACACTGTGCTAATATTTGTAGGACTCGTGAACCTACTCAAAATGCTGAGCATACTGAAAGTGCTTTTGCATTGCAATGAAGTCTTCTTCTAAAAAATCAGGATTGTTTAGGATTGGATTGGATTTAAAATTGAACACAAAAGTATTCCTTTTAGACATACATCATTGACCAGATTCTCACAGAAAACTGTTTAAATATAATATTTGTTCATCAGGTCATGTATTTTTAATTTCTACCTTATTGATTTGAAAAAGAATTGACATAGCAATGGAAACGTTAATATCCTCAACTGAAATTTAGTCAGAAACTAATCATGTCTGAATTGTTTTCTACCATTTTGGAGGAAAAAAACAGCTTACTTTTGTATGTGCTATGGAGACTATGCAGGATAAAAAACCAAACATTTCAGTAATTCATTAATTAATTAATGAGGAAAGGTAAATGCTTACTTTTTGCACTAGTTCTGGATAAATTGTATTTCAGAAAAAAACACCATTTTCATTGCCAATAATTTATTTAATATAACTTTAGTAAATCATGATGTTTAATTTTACTTTTCTTCAATTAAAAATAACCACAAAACACCCAGCCTATTAGACTAATTCTTTCTAAAGTATGATTAAAAGTGAAATTTATAGCAGCTATTGCTGCACAACATTGTGAATGTACTTAATGCCACTGAACTGTGTACTTTAAAATAATTCACTTTAAATAATGTTATGTGTATTTAAAAAATTTTTAATAAGTGAAATACTGTCAGGGGAAGCATCTAAACCATGCAAATTGCCATTTTAAAAAGTATCATAAAGTATGTGCTCAGATAATTAGCTCAGCTCAAGTTTTCACTGCTTTGACATAATTACTTGTAGCTCTGTCCAAAGAGCCATTTATTTCCTTTACAGATATCTCATAAGTCCTAGGGAATACAGCTATTTTCAAATTTAAAACTTTTCATTATCAGTTTTGTAACTGTTCTTTAAAAATTATGTTTCAGTAAAATTCTTACTAAGTATTTCCAGGGAAGATAAAATCAGTAAACAATACCTCAGAAATCCAAGACAATATATAGCACCCCTCTGACGTCAGCATTGAGTGCTGATGCTTTGGTATATTTTCCTGTTATGCTAACTACCTCCCCACTGTCAAAGTGGTGCTAATGCCCTGGACGAGCTCATTCAAGGCCTTTTTACCTCCGATGACTGCAGAGTCATTTCCGTCTGCGTTAGGTAAGGGCTCTCCCTCGTCTGTTGGTCCAGAACGGCCTACAATAGAAAAGGGGGGAACGGCATGTTTGTTACCTTGATTCACTCCTTCCACAATATACGCACATATCAAAATTAAAAAGAAACACATGGCAAAAAAAAGAAAAATTAATGATGGAGGCGAGAAAAGACTTTTGAGAAATTCACAAGCATTTGAAAGACGCGCATTGTGCGACCGCGCCAGGGCAGCCGGGGCCACGCACCTGCGCCCCCCGCGAGCCAGGGAGCCAGTTCCCGCGCCGGGGAGCCGGACCCCGCCTCCGCCGCGCAGCGGGACGCGGCGACCACGTGGCCGCGGACGGTGACCCTGGCGGGGCCGCCCGGGCGCAGCGCCGCCTTCAGGGGAGCGGCGCGGCCGAAGCGCACCGCCGAGAGGCAGCCGGTGAAGCCGCGCGCTGCTGCCCGCCGCGTGTCCGGGTCCGCGCCGGGGGGCTCTGCGGGCAAGAGAAGCGGGACACACCGTTAGGGCACAGGGGAAAGGACGGGGACGCAGGGACGCCGGTACTGGCACGGCAGTGACCAACTGGAAAGCCCCTGGCAGTCCTTTGTCCTTTCATCCCTAGGAGAGGACAGCCAGACCTTTAGCTGCTGGCAACTGTTTCCATTGCCAGGGTTATGAGAGGCAGGTTTCCAGCGTGGTTGCTTCAAATGCAGACTGCTGGCTCTCTGCAAGTAACAGCTTCCTTGGAAAGCAGTGTCGGGGTTGGGGGTGGGTAAACTCACAACTAAGGGACGAGGTGAGCGTTGGGTGCGGCAAAGTCATAACATGTAACCGCGTAATATCCTGAAATTAAAAAAAAAAAAAAAAGGAAACCCTCTGCCGTTTAATTTTAGCCAATAATCCAGGGAATTACAGCAAAGTGACTCCTGGAGATGAAGACAGAGCTCTGGAAATCCTTTCTAATTGTTTTGGCTTATTATGTGCTATTTTGCATGATATATATGGATTTATGACTTACACTGTCTTAAGAAATTGTACCTTTTATCACCAGATAATGTCCCTCTTTATCTTAAGATTAGATTATGTTCTAATCTTAAATTTGATCTTCTCTGATAGTAATATTGCATTTCTTAAATTTGTCGGCTGTTAACTGCTAGTTCTTGGCATACTCCTTCTTTTTCAATATTGTAAGTGCATTTAACTGTTTTTTTCTTAAACCTAGTATGACAGAATTTTGTCCATTCACATTTAGAGTAGCAACTGCTGTATCGATTTTATTCTTTTTATCTTATAATATTTATTTTACATGGGTGTTTCATCTCCTTTTCTTTATTTTACTGGTTTAACCAGTTTCCTTCTTTTTTCCCCTTTTTCCCTTTGTGACTTTGAGAGCTCAACCTCCCTAGCATGGGCAATGAAAAGCATTCTTTTACACCATTATTTGAAAACATGGTCATTTCCCACAAGGCCATTCACCCATCTCCCAACACTCCCTCATTCACCCCGCTCCCACTTGATGGGTTCCCTCCCTCCCCCAGTGGGGTCCCCCACAACAATTCTTCCCCAAAGGGGAGGCTTGGAAAGTTTTTATTTTTCTTCTCTCAATTTTCCCTTTTTACATTCCTTTCTTTGGTTTTACTCTAATACATTTAATTCCTGACTAGAATTACAATTTTCCTTCATTTGCTTTTGTTCTCTTATGTTTATTCTATTTCAAGAATATTTATATAATTGACTTTTTTTTCTAAGAAAGAACTTTGACAGGATTGACAAAGATTCTCCCCTTGACCCAACTTTAGCTCAGCTATCCCTGGCCTTTGGTCTTTGCATTGCCCAGTTTAGCAAGAATCCTGCCAAGTGAATCCCCCACCCTCAGTATCTGATCACCCTTCTCAGCCCTCACCATCTCCCCTTCTTCCCTGCCATGTCTGGTCACCCTGGCCTGGCTTCACCAAGAATCCTGTCAGGTCAGTTTAGCAAGAATTACTGTACCCTCTTAGTAATTTTCCACCCACTGACTCCCCTGCCCCAGCTATTCTGCTCCTTGGCTATAAATCCCCACTTTTCCTGGTTGTATTTGAAGTTGAGCCCAATCTCTCTCCCCTACTGCAAAATCCCATTCCAGTAGTTTCTACACCTATTGTGATAGTCCTGAATAAAGTCTGCCTTACCGTTTTAACAGGTGTCAGAGTATTTTTTGCTTTGACACAATGCAAGATGACTTTACATTAAATAGTTGTATTTTAAAGAGTCATAATTTTAGGGGAGATTAACTCTTAAAAACGTTGAATAAAAACATTGATGATTTAAGGGCAATTCTGTACTCCCAGCTTTTAACCAGCACTGCTAGCAATTATCATAGAACACATTTTTAGTAAAACTCAATTCCTACTGTGTTGACCTTTGTGTCTATATGACTCCCCTGTTACCTTGACATGGCAACACTGTCAAAGTCCTTCACTTTTGCTCCTCTTAGCTTATTAGCTCTAATCAAAATTGTATGTTGACCCATCTGGCCTCCCTTCCTGTGCTTTCTCCACCTGTGTGGTCCTGCATCCAGGCCCCTTCAAAATCTCTCTTCTCTTCCTTCAAAGCCTGCTCCTGAGTAAATTTACTTTTGCGTAAATCCCCAGTTATGGTTTTTGTGAACACTCTTAGGGGTATGCGTATTTTAGCAGAAGGCAAGGCATTAGGCCAAGGGAATGGGTCTCCAATATGGAATTTGAAACATTAGCACTTGAAGTTGTAGAAGAAAGAATATTTGAGGTAGGGCTGCCTTCTCAGCCCACTAAAGTCATGCCAAATAGACAGACATCTGACCTCACAGAAGAGTACCGCTTGGTTGAACTAAAGAAGGAAATGACTAGATAAGTGGACAATCTACACTTGTATGATATGGTAAACATTGCTACATGTGACCACTGAAATTCAAATCAACTAAAATTTTAAAAAATAACAAATTCAGTCTCTCAGTTGCACTAGCCACATTTCCAGCACTTATAAACACACTTGTTTCAAGTGTGTCTAGGGAATACCATACAGGACACCAACATATTTCAGCATCACAGAAAATTCTATTGGATGGCATTGGTCTGGCTGACTTATAGTTTCAAAGACCTTAAGACACTGGCGATCCCCACTGACTCCTGGTTAATGGATTAAGTTAGAAAATCTTAGAATTTTCTACTAAAGGGAATCATAGAAATAATTTAGTCCAGCTTCCTCATTTTACAGGTAAAGATGATCAATTGTTGATCTTCCTTGAAAAAAATCTGCAAAATTTCTATCTTCTTGATTTTTTTAGACTTTTTGTGTGTTTTTGTTTCATAATGTTGAGAGAGGCAACCCACCACTGGCTCTGAGTGTTTGCCTGTTTTACTAGGTTTGCCAAGAAATGCAAGACTCTGCTAGTGCTTTGCTCAGGCCATTTCTCAAGGCTGTATTTGGAGGAAGCAGCCCTGAGGAATGAGGTCTTGTCTCCCTCCAGGACAAAGCATAGGCTTGTTTACCACTTGCTATAAAATCGGTGGATTCCCCAAGCTCAGTGTTCCTCATTCAGCTGCAATGCAAACTCACTGTAGGTGCAGCATTCATCTGGGCCTCTATCATTTTCCCCTAAGACTTGAGGGCCAAAGGGATGCAATGCAAACATGCTGATGCTCATGAGGCCTGCTGTTCCATGAGTAATAGAGTCCTTTGTTTCTGTACCAGGAGTCTTATGTCATCTACCAGCATTCACAAAACAGTTATAGTCTTGTGTAACTTATTACTTGTAAGTCAGGTAAAATCCAAATCCCAGACCTAACATGTAACATCCCTTCTAAATGAGACAAATACTATACCATAAAAGTAATATAAAATATGTAGGTCAATTGAGTTTTAAGTGTTAAAATTATATGTCTTATGTGACATTTCCTCACAGAACTCAAAAGGCAATGTCCAGAAATATTTAATTACGAAAACTATTTGGCATTATCACATATATAGAGCTCTGTTTGAAATACAATCCTGCAATGCATTTTCTTCTACCCAGAATGTAAACCTCCTAAGGTTTAAAAGCACAGCTGCATTAGTATATAACTATCTACAGGCTATTTTTTTAATCTTCTGGGAGCAGTCAAAAAGACACATTCTGCAGCTTCTGCACTTTGTTTTGTTTTATATATATATATATATATATATATATTATTTTTTTAAGTTAGTATTTAAAAACACACACAGCAAAATCAAAAGAATACCAATAGTACCAAAGTAGTTGGAGAAATAAAACTTAACCAAAATTTGTTGTCAAAACTGCAAGGGGGTTCGGTCTAGGTCCAATTGATTGTCACACAAAAATCTAATTATAGAGACAACGAGGATTGCCAAGGAAGAAATGAAATTTTAATACAACAGACATCCAGCCAGGAGAACAGGAGAAGTTGCCTCAAATCCATCTCCCAGACTAAGGGAGACCATGGGCTTTGAAAGGAGGGACCATGTGCCTTGGGGCAGGTCCTAGTGTGTCTCACAGGGGCTATGTACATTGGGAAAGCTCGTGAAGGATGATGATTCTTGGCGAAAAGAACCTTGTTCTGGGGCCTTTGGAATCTCAAGTCCTTTGTCTTGCAGAACATCAGTCATTTCTGGGAAACATCTCAAAAGGTCAAGTAGTTAGTTAAGGGAGAGGGTTATATAGGGGCCATTTACAAAATGATAGTTTACATTTACTGGATTACAGTATTTTAAGTGTTCACATTCTTTAAGACTACATCTCAGATAAAATTCAAAGCTATGTAGAAAATTAGACATCTAAAGAGTTTACATTTAAATAGGTTTACTCTGAATTGATCTTGTGATAACCAATCTGAATGGTCTTCATTAAGTAAGACTACTCAAATGGCAAGATAATAACAGCATCTTAATTATGATGGATGCTGGGCCATTTTTTCAAAGGCATGTTAAGGTATATATTAATAAATTAGATTGGATATGAGCATTATTTTATTAGAATTGATCACATGCTAGCCTATGTTCCCTATTAACATGTGAATTTTTGTTACATGTGAGGATGGGTGTTGTGTCTCTCTTGTTCAGAGGCTTTCTCAATGCTTAATAAATTATTCATAGTCATTGCTCACCAAATATTTCTGAACAAATAGACGGATCAATGATTCACAGGGACTCATGAGAAATATACTGATAACTTAGCAGAGAGTGTTTTGGGTAACTTTCTCTGGAAAATTAGTGGCTTCACTATTAGTCAACTTGTCGGTCTATTTACCATAAGTTAAAAAAGCACTTCTTATACAACTCCAAACTTAAATATAAAATTGTAGTCGTGGTTTAATTATTAAATGATCTGAAAGCAGACAAAAATTGGCTATTCAGAACATGAATTGTTTTATTCATTTTTGTGTCAATGGAAAAGAACCCAAACTCTGTAAAATAATTTAAAGAGGTTTATTTTGAGTCAAATATGTGCAGCCATGGTCTGGAGAGCCACACCCAAGAAGCCTTGAGCAAGTGGACTTTCTGTGGTTGGGTTACAGTTTGGTTTTCTACATTTCAAGGAGACAGGAATTACACATAACATCACAGATCAGAAAATGGAAGGCGTACATTGGTTTGGCCTGAAAAGGCGGGACATCTCAAAGTGGGGGGTGGGGGAATTACAGGTTATAGGTGGGTTTAAAGATTCTTTGATTTGTAATAGGTTAAAGAGCTGAAGCTTTGTCTAAAGGCTTGGAATGTTTTAAGATAAGGAAGTCTGTTAATCAGAGAAACAAGCCACCAGACATATACTGAGACTCAAGTGATCTATTAAGTAAATTCATGACCTACAGATGTGGTTTAAGCTTTGTCTTGCATAGCCTTAGGCTTTTTACAGAGTTACAAAGGATATCTCCAAGAAGGAAAGGGGACATGTCTCACCTCCCTTCTCATGGCCAGCAACTCAGCTTTAGGGTACTTCTGGGGCCCCTTTGGCTGAGAGGGGGTCCATTCAGTCATCTCGGGGACTTAAGATTTTATTTTAGTTCACATTTGATTATTATCTCTACTTCTAGGCACAGGCAAAATAAATATTTATAACTTTCTGACTATATACTTCATTGCTGAATTTTAACTTGTTTTTTATACCATAAGTTACATGCCTTTTAATATACTGTCCTCAAATAAAAACAGTAACACATCTTCAACTCCACGTACTTATTTATTTAAAGGAAAACAAAAATGTATATAATGAATATTATTATTCTATTTTGATCCTCTTCATATTACATATAGTATATTTTGTTTTCTTGATTTACATAATCTTTTAAAAAGATTGTTTTCCTCAGTTACTATGTTATTAAGTTTAAAGCTAAGCTGTGCTTTTAAAGATGCTTCCCTGTCAGTATGATAGGCAATTATTGTAACATTCTACCGGGTGTAATAGGTATTTATGAACATTCCTCCCCTCTCCTGTTAGATACTAGCGTCATAGAGGACAGAAACAACAGGCAAAGTCGGACTCAGGACAGTTGACAACTGTATTCATCTGCTGAAAGAAAATAAACATTTTTTTCCTCTTGTCTTCAACTCAAACATAGTTTTATCATTGAATAGAGGTCTCTGGAGTTGATGCTGATTAACGCATAATCTGTGAACTTTGTATCTGCTTTGATAACATTTCACTTTTCAAGAAGTGTTATAAAAATACCGTGATCCATTATGCATGATTGCCAAGTGAGAGGTTCAGTGTGGAAGTATTTTGCCAGGAACACCCTCGCACGTCTCGCAGCAGCACTTACTCGTGATTACAGGTACACTCAGGCAGGAGTACCGTTTGCATCTTGATTGTCACTCACTGGGAAATTATTATTCAAGTAAGACAAGGGGCTTCTTTCAGCATGATGAATGCTTTTAGAGTCTGTGACAGGACACTTAGGATCTGATGTTTTTGGGGGAAAAGCTCTTTCTTCCACTTACCTAAAACCATTCCCAATATGAGGGATTTGACAGCGTTGAATTCTGTACCCGAGGACAAGATGACTTGTTTCTTTGCACTCTGGTTAACCTGTTAGATGTCCCATGAGAAGCAAACATGAAAAGGAAGTGTAATTTTAATGATAAGGAAGCAAAAGGAGAACAGGGAAAAAAAGATAAAAATCAATCACTTGTAAGTGCCCCTAGAAAGGATCAAGAAACCACCTTCGAACAATTAATCATTTAGACGGGGAAGCTATCTTATGAGAGTTCCTAGGATGCCATCAGCTACCACTCCACCCACTGTCTACTCCCTTCCCCGCTTTACTCTTCTTCATAATGGAAGAATCTGTAATTGGCAGAATCCACAAAAAAGATGGAATAAACTGCTTTAAACTTAAAAACTTCTTATTCTATGGAGAAAACCTGAAACATAAAGCCAAGAATTGCTGTTCTATGTACAGATTTAAAGTACATTCTCCTTCAAATGCCAGTGACAATGTGTAATTTACTTTCTCTGTTCTTACTCAGGTTTATTTTCTTGTATATTCCCACATTAATGAATATCTTGTGTACTTTTTTACTTGTGTCTGAATTGGGGTAGTATATGTTGCTTTATAATCTGAACGGGGCAGGTTCCCACTGAAATATCGGTTAACGGATTCCATCAATAGTCACCGTGATAAACTAGGGAACATTTCCCTACTGAGTAAAGTAGACATATAAGAACATTTTGGTATTTTAAATGGTAAAATATTAACAATAACTTTGACAGAATTACATGGCTAAACAAACAAAACAAAGCAAAATAAACAACCACCTCTCCTTCCCCTAGTCCTGGCTGCATTTGATTTCTCATCCTTGACTTGTGGAAGAGCAATACTGAATGGGTGGTTGTTTTATTAATAGTTATTATCACATTTTTGCATTAGGTTACTCTTTCTCAGAATCATAATCATAATGTGGTTATTTTGACTTTGATGTTGCTGCATTACCTCTACCATGACCACTGCTTCTTCTCTGCTAATCTTCACCTGGTGAAGGTGCCCATCAGCCATGTTTTTAAAATCAAAATTAAATGCGTCAGGATCTTGATGTCTGTCTAGTTTGTACCTAATCTGAAAACTTCCTACAGAGAAAAAACAAATGACATTTAAAATTAAAATATTTTACAAAACTCTTACTGCAGATTCTAGAGCACTTTTATTATTTTTTACTTAAGGCACTTTTGAATCTATTTAGCATAGATTTGGATGCACTCAATAGTCATCTTTCCTGGATAGTGATTCTTAAGTGCTATTCCAGCACCAAACTCTGAGTCCAACTATACTATTCTAAAAGTCAAGACCAAATGCATCACTAATAAGCGGTCTTCCCAAACTTTGCTTAAATGAAAAGGTTTAAATTACACATATGAAATCTCTGAACTCACATCTAAATTCATTATGACTATGATACTTATTCGATGAAATGAAACTCCATGCAATATTGTATCAACATTCAGTTTATATAATTGTAAGTTCTTTGAATAAGGCTTATTTTAATATGTTACTGACTTGCATAATTAAAAATTATTTTTAGAGCCAGAATTTTCTTCTAAAGTCTTTTGCCATAATCCAAAAATGAGAAAGAGAAAAGTTTTTGCCAGGAGACAAGGTTTCTATAGTATCCGCATCTTCTAACACACACACTGCATTCCCACATAGATGCACCCCCTCTTACTCATAACTCTTTTATGGCTTATACAAAGATCCTGTTAGTCAGAGATTTTATAGGTTTTTCAAGAAATTAAATTTTTGTGCTGGCTCACTACCTAACACAAACTTAAAGCTTGGGCTTCCTGTTCCATTGTGAAAGCCGTGCAATGCCCCAGTTGCCACTGTTTGAGAGACTGCCACTTCGCTCTTCCTCTTATATAAAAATGATATAACTAGTTTCTCAACCACTGATGGGATAAAGAGCAATTGTATTTCTCTGTTGCTTATGGAAATTGGCTTCTATGTAGTTTTACTATAACAACTACATTAATACTCCCCTAGTTTGCTTAGAATTAGCAGGGATATATGTCATATATCCAGATATCATATTTGAAATCATCACAATTTGATGATCATCATGCAGTAATAAAGACACGCTATCAATAATAAGATGTATAATTTTATATCAAATCTGTAAAATTATCAAATTTGTAATGGGAGAAAACATCCTAATTTAATCTTGAAATGCTAGCTGTTACGATAATCATTACGGATAGTACTGAAAAATCAAAAGATGTGGAGGGCAGGCAATTTTCTTTTCTTGCAGCTTGAATGCTGAGAAGACCTGCATCATTACAGTCCTATTTTTTCTAATTCAGGGTTGTTTTTCTTTTCTTTACACAAAAGATATTCACCATTGTTGGCGAGGATAATTGAAAGGTATTCCTCATAGAAAGAGCTCACATACAGCAATAAGCTCGGAGTTCGTGTGGTTCGGAAGCTCAGTGTGATCATTTCCCTGGTCAAGGTCGCATCCCTATGTAATGAAGAAGCAAGGGCGCTGGAGTTTTCACTTAAGATGTGATGTTCTTGAAAATTATAGGTCATCGAGGAGCCAGTTTCAAAATATGCAGAAATCTCTGGAACAACAAATACATTTGTTATGGTAACAAAATATAAGTCCAATGAATCCAACCCTTAAATATCCTGGGAGGTAAAGTAACAGTGAATGCTTTATTGTGTTGTTTGGATTATTTTCACTTTTTAAAGTCTTTTAAAAAATAAAGTTTGAAGAAAAAAGTAACAAATCCCAATACACTCAAAACACAGAATTCAATAAAATTTAATAGAGATTTCATTGAATTCTCCAAATTATCTTCACCTTAAATTTACATATAACTAATTCTCTGGTATAAATGTATAATTTAAAGGTAATCACTCTTATCTTTGGGATTCAATTTTTTCCCAAAATGTTAATTTTTAAAACAACCTTATTAAGATATAATGCATATGCCGTGCAACAGACTCAATTACAGTTTAAAATTCTGCGTCTTTTAGTATATTCACAGACTTGTGCAACCATCACCACAATCAATTTCAGAGTATTTTCACCATCCTCCACCTTTACATCCCTCCAAAACAATACCCTTTTATATCTATTAGCAGTCCCTCTCTGTTTCTCCCCAACATCTCAGCCTAGGCAACTACTAGTCTATTTTCTGTCTCCATAGAGATTCCTACTTTGGAGATTTCCTAACAGTGGAATTGTACAACATGTGGTCTTTTGTGTCTGGCTTCTTTCATTTAGTATGATATTTTCAAGGTTCCTTCATGTTGTAGCAGGTATGAGTATTTTATTCCTTTTCATTGATGAGTAATATTTCACTGTATGGATATACCACATTTGTTGATCTATTCATCAGCTGATGGACATTTGGGTTGTTTCTACTATTTGGCTATTACAAATAATGCTGCTATGAATATTCATATGTAAATTTTTGTGTGGACACATATTTTCATTTCTCTAGGTACATATACCGAGGAGAGAAATTGTTCAGTCTTATAATAACTCCATCTTTAACATTTTGAGGAACTGACAGTATTTTTTTCCAAAACAGCTGTATCATTTTACATTCCCAACAGCAATTATGAGAGTTTCAATATCTTCCCTTCCTCACCAGCATTTGTTACTGTCTTTCTTTTAAATTATAGCTCCCCTAGTGGGTATGAAGTCAGAACTCATTGTGGCTTTGATCTGCATTTCTCTACTAGCAAATAGTGCCAAGCATCTTTTCATGTGTTCATTGGCCATGAGTATATATTTGCTGAAGAAATATCTATTTATAAGCTTTGCTCATTATTTAATTGGGTTGTATTTTTATTATTCAATTATAAGAGCTCTTTAAATAATTTGAATACTACATCCTTGCAACATACATGATTTGCAAACATTTTCATCCATTTTTTGGGTTGTCTTTTCACTTTTTTTCAAAGTGAGCCCTTTGAATGACAACAGTTTTTAATTTTGATGAAGTCCAACTTATCTATTCTTTCTTTCTTTCTCCCATATTTTAAGTGTTTTCTAGTTTTAGCTATTACATCAAGGTTTATAATATATGTGGAGTACAGATTTGTGTATGTGTTAGACAGAAGGCCAGTTTCATTCTTGTGCATGTGCATGTGGATATCCAGTTGTCCTGGAGACTATATTTTCCCCATTGGATTGATTGTCTTGGCACTTCTTGTAAAATGCACTGACCATAATGTGAGAGCACATATCTAGATTTTTCAATATATTTGCTTAGTTGCTTAATTCCTCTGGATAGAACTTCCAGTACTATGATAAATAAAAGTGGTGAGACTGGGCATACTTGTTATGTTTCTGCTTTTAGGGAAGAAGCTTTCACCATTGAATATGATGTTAGCTGCAGGTTTATATATACAGCCTTTATCATATTAACGAAGTTCCCTTCTATTCCTAGTTTATTGAGTGGTTTTTTTTTTTTTGAGACAGAGTTTCACTCTGTTGCCCTGGCTAGAGTGAGTGCCATGGAGTTAGCCTAGCTCATAGCAACCTCAGACTCCCGGGCTCAAGTGATCCTACTGCCTCAGCCTCCCGAGTAGCTGGGAGTACAGGCATGCGCCACCATGCCCGGCTAATTTTTTCTATATATTTTTAGTTGTCCGTAGAGACGGGGTCTCGCTCTTGCTCAGGCTGGTCTTGGACTCCTGAGCTCAAAGGATCCGCCTGCCTCGGCCTCCCAGAGAGCTAGGATTACAGGCGTGAGCCACCGCACCCGGCCATATTGAGTGTTTTTTTTAAATTATGAAAGGGTTTGGAGTTTGTTACATTTTTCAGCAACAATTAAGATATTCATGTATTTTTCCCTTATTCTACTAATCTTGTATAACACATTGACTGAATATGTCATGGAATTGACTTGAGGCCTCCTCTTGTTTCTGATGTTAATCTTGGTGTTCTCTTGTACATGAGTTATTTTTCTCTTATTGCTCTTAAGATTTCCTTTTTGAATTTGGCTGTCAACATTTTTACTAAGATGAGTCTAGGTATGGATTTCTTTGTGTTTATCCTACCTGGATTTTATTGAGCTTCTGTATGTGTAGATTAATGATTTTCATTTATTTGGGGATGTTTTTAACCATTACTTTTCAAAAATTTTTTGATCCTTTCTCTCCTCTCCTTCTGGTATTATCAGTTATGTGTATGTTGGTGTGCTTAATTATGTCTGATGCTTCTGTGATAATGTTCATTTTTCTTCATTATTATTTCTCTCTGTTCTTCAGGATATATAATCTTTATTGATCCATCTTCAAGTTTGCTAAGTTTTTCTTCTGCCAGTACAAATTTACTGTTAAGTCTTTGTAGGGAATTTTCCATTTCAATTATTGTACTTTTGATGCCAGAATTTCTATTTGTTCTTCTTAAATTTTTTTATCTATTATAATTCTACATTTGATGAGATGATGTCACCATACTTTCTCTCACTCCTTTAAGCATGATGTCTTAGTCTGCTTAGGCTGCTATAACAAAATATTAATACCATAAACTAGGTGGCTTAAAGAACAAAGTTTCCCCAACCCCAACAATTCTGGAGGTTGGAAAGTGTGTGATCAAGGTACCAACAGATTCAGTGTCTGGTGAGAACCCTCTTTCTGGTTTGCAGGTGACCTTCTTCTTGCTATATCCTCACATAGTGGGGGGAGAGAGGGCTCTGATCTCTTCTTCTTATTATAATGACACTAATCCCATCATGGGAGCTTCACCCTCATGACCGAATTACCTAAACTTAATTACCTACCAAAGGCCCCACCTCTACAAACTATCATGTTGGTGATTAGGACTTTAACATATGAATTTTGGGGGGATATAAACATTCAATCCATAGAATGTGGTTACTTTTGCTTCTTTGAACATATTAATAACAGCAGCTTTGGAATTTTTGCCTGCTTATGTCTGGTATCTGGACTTTCTTTTTTTTTTTTTTTTCAGCCTATGTTTGAGGACCAGGCAAGGTAGCTATCAGTGGTTTTAAAAGGGAAACCCCAATTATATCCTCAAATTTTAATCTCGTTTATTCATTCTCAGAGTACCTGGCCAAATTATCATACCTTGTTGATAGGTGGTATAGGTGGTGAACAAGTTACATCTAAAGTCTATGCCAAGCATGCATTGATAGAATTCTTTTATTTCTTTTTGAAATATAGTCAATTTACACTGCTTACATGTCAGTGTGAAATAAAGACTACTATGTATTGCAATTGATGGCATCTAATCTTGTTTCTTCAGCTAGGTAGTACACTGAACAGTTTCTTTTTTCATGAATTCTCAAGTAGACCTTGGTAACTCTGAACACATCTTAAAAGATCCATTCCAATGTCAAATGTAGAGTAACTGAAATTCTTAAAAAAAAAATTAAAAACAAATTTTAAAAACCCGGAAGTATGTATTAAGTACCTATAGTCCTTATCTTCAGTTTTTCTAAATTTTTATCCTCATTTAATGCCATTTCTGAATCCACATTTGGAAATTCTTAATTCTTCGTATTTCTTTTTATTTTATAGGGTAGAACCTCTCATGAATACTTTTTAATGGATTGAGATATAGTTATATACAGTTAATGTTCATAGTCACCTAAAATTATTTTTTTCCTTCTTTTTTCCCCCCTCCGCTACTCTGAAGGAACTAAAATTATTTTTTTCTTCACTGACCCTCAACTCTCTGCCTCTGGGCCTTAACTCTGTGCCTCCAGGCAAGATTGTGCACCTGGACAGCAGGCTCCATTACATGATTCCTGGGCATAGCCTCCTGGTGACTCACTGCTATTGTTACTTGTCCCTGAGGCTGCATCAGAAGAACAAGGACAAGTGGTTTGAGGAGAAGGAAAGAGGAATTTATTCATTTGCCAGCAAATGAAGAGGTTGGCAGAGTTCTGTCTCAGAGTACCAACGTTCTGGTATCTGGACTTTCTCAAAGACAGTTTCTCTTGCCTGCTTTTTCCATGTGTGGATCACACTCTCCTATTTCCTTGCATGTCTCCTGACTCTGTATTTTGGCTGAAAATTTGGCATTGTAGATTACATGACACTTCTGGATACAGATTCTCCCCAGGGCTGCAGCTGTTGCTGTTGATTTTTTGTTAGTTTAGTGACTTGGCTGGACTATTTCAGTGAAGTCTGTTTCCCCTGAAGTGCGTAGCCTCTGATGTCACTCCTCACAGAGTATATCCCTGGTCATGTGCACAGTCACCTGTTTTCTCAAGGCTCTCTTTGACTGTTTCTTCACCTCTTCTCTATGTTAACCCATCTGCGGCTGTTGGTACCATACCCAGATGTGAGCTTCCACTTCTTGTCTGCTGTTTGCTTTATTGTATTCAGCAATGCGCCAGGGCATAAACTGCTCCACAATTCAGGCCCCTTTGCTGAATTAGTCTTGGTTCCAGTTGTTGAAACTTGTTTAGACTCTAGGAGGAATCTTACCTGTCTCATTCCCTATTTTTTTCTGTTAAACTTCTAGTTTGTCTATGATTTAACGTGTTGCTCTCTTGGAGCTATCAACCTCCTCTTAAGTGCTTACTACCAGAATCTTCACTGTCTTTGAAAGTACCAATAGGCTTATATATACCCATGCTCTGTTTCAAATAAAATCAGTTCATTTGGGGAGGGCTACAGAGCTCTGTGTTTTCAAACCTCTGTCTCACTGTTCTGAAGCTGTGGGTAGTGACAGCAGTCTGCTTCTTTGGAGTGAAACCTTTCCTTACAAGTAGAGCGCAGGTTGGGCATGGTGACCTCGTGCCTTGCCTCTCCTCATGGTGGAAACTTTACTTATAAGCAAGTTGGAGTGAGGGCAGCTGAGACCCGGTATTCTCAAGCTGCCACACCTGGAGAGCTTCTGTCCTGGAAATGAGTACTTGCTGCAGCAAGAAAGCCCCAGACGTCTCTGTTGCTTCTGCCTGGATCGAAGTCCTGCCACACAAAGCTGGGGGCGATGAAAAATGCTGGCACCCGATCTTGGGAATAAAGCAGTATTTTTGGAGTAGGAACTAGGGAGAAAGGACACCTCTGGCTTCTTGGCTGTACCCGCATAAAGTAGAGCTTCCATCATGTGGGGCTGGGACAGGGAGGTACAGGGAATGGGTCTTGGATGAAATGCCTCAAACTCTTATTGTTATTACTAAGATTAATAAATGTTTCTTCATTTGATGTACTACTCCCTTAGGAGATTTTCTAGTGACTTTAAAGAGGTGGGTTTTTTAAATAACAATTTTTAGAAGTCATGGCTGTCTTACATGGGAGAGGGTTTACGGAGCTCCCTATACGGCCATTCAGCCAGTGTCTCTCAGAGGACCAAGGTTTTTTTAATTTAAATTTCACCTCTTCTTTAAAAATCTATTGCTTTGTAGGAAGCATGAAACAGATCTCCTTCAGTAGCTAGGAAGAGGATGATTTGAGGACCAAGCCTTCTTCAAAATCAGAATTTAGCCATTTTCTTTTATGTCAAAGATCTTTCTCAGATTTACTATTTATCAGAAAATAAAAGCTAATCCAAAGCGATGTCTGCAGTGTTCTGAGAGATGATGAAAGCTTTTCAGCTTCCCCTAAAACATTTTATAAAAGGTTGACGTTTTAATTTTATATCAGATTAACTCCCAAATGTGTTTTGTACATACACACACACACACACACAAACACACAGAACCCAAATGTTCTTATAAATAAAAGGAAGATGTTGAAAGGTGGTTATTGTCTTAGATTACTGTTCCACTCTTTCTAGTTCCATAGAATATAAAGAATTTCTGTAAATCCAGACCATTCTTATGAGATTAAGTAATTTAACTATGATTTACCCCATAGGCACTGGAGGGCCATTTTCCATTCACCTACAATGCAATCTCTATGTCTAATCTAATTTTAGGTTACAAAATAACATTTAAATTGCACTTAGCAAACGTGGACTAGGAATTACTTAGAAATCGACTCTTGTGCTCATGAGGAAGTGGTCACCTTGAAGTTGACCTTCAGATAGGAACAAGGCTCTGTATTTGTACCAGAACTATGTTATTTGTTATCACACATAGATCTTAAGCTGTAATTCATTCAAGAGGATTAACAGAAGACTTATGAAGGTGTTTTTTTGAAAATTTCAATGAATTCTAGATAACTAATTTCAAAATTCTTTTGAAAGTCACACAATTTATGTAGTAATTAATGCCCGTTGTGCTGCTAAACATGATATATGGGTGTCAGACCAGACACATTTAAAAAGCTATTAAATTTAGCTTTGATGACTCAATACCCTAAAAGTATTACAAGTATAAGTATATTCAGGAAGTTAGTACAGTATATTTAACAGCAAAACCAGTCCCTTCCTTCCTTTCAAAATATGATTTATACCTGAGCAGAAGCGGTATGATACTCCACTATATTCCTCTAAGAACAGGTACTTAAACAGCTTAGGGCAAAGTGTCTGAATGATCCCCTTAATGACATGTCAACATTTAATTAAATATGCATTTCCTTTCCTAGTTAATATGCTTGGTTTATAAGAAAAGGCAATTTTAAAATGTCTTTTTGCATCACTTCGAATCATTGTCATAAATAACAATGAGCAGAAGGATTGCTTGAGACCCGGAGTTTGAGTCCAGCCTGAGCAACACAGCGAGACTCCATCTCTAAAAAGTTCAAATAAATTTTAAAAAAAGATGCTTTAATGATTTTAAAATCAGAGTAACCCAAGGACAGAGTTTTGAAACCAAATCATTTCAAAAGGCTTAGCATTGAACAGAAAACGGGAGGTAACACAGAGATCTTCCACATAAGAAATGCAGAGAGGACTGACAGCCTCAGGTTTTCAAAGATAGTCATTCCCCTTCCATTCAGTAGAGGAATTTGGAACAGAGATGATTGTATTTCAAATAGTTCCCCAATATTATCCTTTCTTTTTTATGTCAAATGCCAGAAGTGTTCTTCATAGTCTTAGTTTCCCACATTTTCTCTGTTACCTGCTCCCTGGCCACACTCACCATCTGCGCAGAACGGCCCGTCGTAGGCAGAGAAGGCACAGTCACAAGCGATCCCTCTGCGTTTCTCTCTACATCTGCCGCCATTGCGACACAAGTGTCCATAGCTGCTGCAGTGTCCTGCACACCCCGGCTCCACCCCTGGCGTCACTGTGGCTCTCTCCTCCAGATCCACCGCCATCCCGTTCAGTCGCAGAGACCTAATGCAGCCCAGAAAGCCTCTCTGTCTGGTGGCTGTGCCCCCTACAAGGGAAACACTGCAAATAGAAATGTGTTCCTTGGTATTTTATTAGGATTTTATGTCCATGTCAAACTCAGGCCTTATGGAGAATGGTAAAAATTGCAATTTGTCAAAAAATGTTGTGAACATATAAATTTTTGAAAATATAAACTGTTATCAGATATCATGAAACTTTAAATGACATTGAAATAAAACATTTATTCACGTAACTTTTAAGCAAAATGAGCTTGGCAAATATTCACTCTAAAATATTTCTTTAATTTCAGTTAAGAAAGATTTTTACTTTAGTTTCTTTACACAGACAACATATAAACCACATCATCATTTTACTTTTGTTTATGAACAATAATATGCATTGTACGGTTAGGTGTGAACTTTCAACATTTTTACAATAATTAGAATATATGTAGATAAATTCTTTATTTTGATGGACTCTCACAATAAAGTGTGAAAAGAGATTGAGGCAAAGAAAGGGAAGTTGGAAGGGGTGAAACCACCCTCAGGGTCTCACCCAGGTTTGTCCCTTACTCCATCCACTCCCCTCTGGGGACACAGAGGTAAACCTGAACTGAGTAATGCACATATTTCTACTTCATCATGTCCAATCTGAATGCTAAAGAAAATATTTAGAAAGGTTTACACTTGTGTGGAGGAAAACGCCATTATAAGGGCAATAATTCTCCATGTCAGGATCATAGAATTACCTGGAGTTTGTGAAAGATGCAGATTCCTGAGGTTCCTTCCAGAGACTCTGGTTCAGTGGGCCTAAAGGAAGGGCCCCAAATCTGAATTTTCTTTTGTTTTTCTTTTTTTTCCGAGACAGGTTCTCACTCTGTCACCCAGGCTGGAGTGTAGTGGTGCAATCATAGCTCACTGCAACCTTCAACCTGGGGGCTCAAGCAATCCTCCTACCTCAGCCTCCCAAGTAGCTAGGACTATAGGTGCACCCCCCCCCCCCACCACACCTGGCTAATTTTTCTTTTAGAGACAGGATCTCACTATGTTGCCCAGGCTGGTCTCAAACTTCCACCTCAAGCAGTCCTCTTGTCTCGGCCTCCAAAAGTACTGGATTACAGGCGTGAGCCACCACACCCGGCTCCAAATCTGAATTTTCAAGCAGCTTCAGGGATGATTCTGAAGTCAGTGATTCATCCACCACGGTTTTATAAATTTTATCTTAATGTTAATGTTTATTCTAGCTGAATCTTTATGCTCATTTTGTTCCAAGGCATTCCATTAAATAATCCCCAGGATTACAAGTGAGAAAATGAAGTTCCTTAATTTGACTCATCTGTGTGTTCCTCCTTTCAGATAGTTTGATGGTTTCAACTCCTTTGAAGAGGCCTCATCTCACCCTAATATGAGAACTAACAATGCTTGAAGCTAGGTTTTAGGGAGCCCTGGTGTATACACCCCTCTCCACACACACAGTCTCACACTCTCACACACATAATCACACACACTCACACTCTCTCACATACTCACACACTCTCGCACACACCCGCACACACTCATTGTTCAGCATTCAGTACCCGGAAGTTGTGTGTATCCTCCTGCATAGTAGGCTGTGTGATAACTTGTGATTTAGTCCAGTTTTTAATTGGATGGTGTCCTTGTTTGCTTTAAAATGCATAAGAAATGAGGAAGTGAGAGCTACTTCCTTAATCTGCTTGGTTCCTAAATTAGAACAGAGTAGTCCGGAAAGTCATACAGCAAAATATATTTTTCCCTTGGGGAAAAACAAACAACAATGATAAAACAGTAAATAAGCAAACTCAAGGGCAGCCTTCCATAGCCCATAGCCCTAACCTTTAAATGACTTGGACCGTGAGAATAAAGGAGTGAGACCTGGGTATAAACAGGAAGCGCGTGATGAGAGAGCAGCAGGAGGAGGGACAGTGAGGAAAATCAGGAGTGGGGCTTCTGAAAGCCTCATGTGAGTAGACACGCTGTCCTGCTTCTGCCCACAGGTCTCCTTGAGCGGACACTGGATGACCTCTGTCCCAATTATAACACCACTGAGAAGTGAAACTGAAGAACTGGATAAAAATTTCTGATTATTGCACTATTAGTGTTGATAAAATCTAATGTTGATACAATTTGTGACAAGTGTCACAAATGCTGATCCCTGTAATATAAATGGTTCAAGCATGGGGACTGGCTGTCATGGGTTTAGATCCCTCTTGCTAGTTGGTTATTCCACCCTCTGAGGCTAGGTTATTTCATCTGTAAACAGGTGACAATAATACCTACACAGTGAGATATCAAATAAGAAGCACACAGCAAGTTCCTGGAACCAACTAGGTCATCAGTAAAGAGTGCCAATAGTAGTAGTTGCCTGCAATCATTGCTATCAATATTTTACAGTTTTGATCTTCTCTCGGTCCATGTCTGCCCTCATGTCAAGTTCCATTATAAACCAACGGCACTCACCAATGAAGAGCTGGCTGTTGAGCTGTAAACGGACGTGCCCATTCACAGGGGCAGGTTGCATCTTTTGAGGGAGTTGGTCTACTTGAAGAGACGCTCCTTTGACGTTCCTTTCTGCTCTCAAGTGGTGCCACCGATTGTCATTAAAGAGAGTGGGTGACTGCACCGTAACCTCACAAGGCCCATTCCCCACATCGAAGGAAAAGGTCACGTCAGTGGGAGCTGGAAATATTATATATGAATATTGCTCAAGTTAATTCACAGGGGAGAAAATTTAGACTTGTGTAGACATAGGAAAATATCATGACATGCTCATTACGAAAGGGGACAATGACAGTGATGCAGAAAAAAGTCTGAGTTGGGGAGGGGGCTATAAAATCAAAACAAAACTAGAGGAAAAAACAAAATAAAACAAAACTGATTTTTAACATACTTATCTTTACAGTTTACCATTCAATCTTACTAAGTCCTAAATAGTAGCAATATATATGCATTGCTAGAATACCAAATAGTATTCGTTTTACATGTTTAAGTAATTTTACTTAAAAATGGCTCAAAGCCTCATGCAATTTTAAAAACACTAAATTTAATTTTTGACAGTAATAAATTAAGCTTTGGGCACATGAAAAATAGTACTTCTGGTTAAGTATTAATTCAGTAAATTATTGGATGAGGTTGGTTTAAAGTTCTGACCATAGTTGGCATAGTCAAGAGAAGGTATAACATTTTAATGAATTATTACATGCTTCATGCCTCAAAGTTTTGGTTTCTCTTAAAAATAAAAATGATTAACTAAAATCATAGAATTTTAGTACTTAATAAAGAAATACAATTATAAAGTAAGAATGACAATACTTTAAAATTTTGATCAGTTAAAGCTTTCATTGCTAAAAAATGGCCATCCTATGACTTGTAAAGTATGGGCGACTCACCACGCAGCTCGATCCTGATAAAGTCCGTGATCCCCAGGTTTTCCATGAACACACCAGAGGAAACTGTGGTCTTAAAAAAGAAACTCACATCAGCAGTAAGTTCTCCATGGAAAGTAGGGAAATGAAGGTATGAAGTCTCCGTGTTGAAGGAAGCTGAATTCCAAAATGACTCTTGTTTCCAAAAAGACAAAAGGAAAAAAAATCATGAAACAAAAATAACATTTACATTTTATACTTACAGGATTATTACTTCTAAATGTATTAATAATCTATATAATCCTTTACTGGGGGTTCCAAACATCCATGTCATGTAGTCGTGACATTGACAGCCAAGTGGTGATCATTTTGAGGACTGGAATTCAGTGTTGAGAAAGGGCTAGGCAAGGCAAAGCAGAAGCGTGAGGCCAGTTAGGAGACAACACCAGCCGAGCAGTGGAGGTGCTGGGACAGGCCCGGGTCCAGAATCATTTCAAAGTTGGAGGCAACAGAATTGACTGATGAATTGGATGTGGGATGTGAGGGGAAGGGTGAAGTCTGAGATGACTCCAGAGTTTTTGCACTAACTGGGATGGGGGACAATTTTGAAAAAGCAGGTTTCAGAAGTGGCTCAGTTTGGGACATGTTAAATTTGAGATACCTACCAGGCATCCAAGTGGAGATTTAAAGGAGGCAGTTGGATGTACGACTCTAGAAGCCAGAGCCCAGACTTTTTTTTTCTGTCTTTCTTACAAAGAAAACTGTCCTAGTAATTCCCTCCATAGCAAAAACAAACAACAACAACAACATTTTTTTGTCCTTCTATTCCAGAATCCATTCTAGGACTACACATTACATTTATTTCCCCAGTCTCCATTCTGGAACTATCAATCTTTTCTTATCTTTTTGTTCTATGACTTTTTTTTCTTTTTAGCATTTCTCAGTTGAATGTTCCTCTATTTCAATGTGTCTGACATATTCATGATTAGATTCATGTTATGCATTTTTGTAAAAAATACCACCAAGGTGAGTCTGTGTTCTTTGCAATGTGTCACACCGGGAGGCAGGCAATGCTGATTAGCCCCGTGACTGGGCATGTCTGCTTTGATTGCCTTGCAAAGTGGTATTTGTCAAGTTTCTCCCATATGGAGTTACTATCTTTCTCTTTGTAATTCATCCATATTTGGGCACTTAAGGCTACGAAAACATAACCTTACTCACTTTTTCAAACTGCCACCACTGGTTTTATAATTTATTGCTGGTTCTTCATTGAATTATTATTATTATTATTAT